GACTCGGCCAGCGTGTAAGGATAGGAGGTAGGCATCTTCGAAGAGGTGAACTAAAAATGCTTCCGTGGCCTCTTGAATGGCCAGCAGGGCCTGAGCTTGCCAGCTGAAGTCCACACCGCGGGTGAATTTAGCACATATTTCTCTTACCACGCGGCTGAAGGGCGCCTTCCTCAGCAAGAGGTCTGTGCTCTTCTGTAGCTTTCGTATCTCTCGGAGCCAGGTGAAGCAACGATCGCGCCGAGTGACAGCGGCACCTGAGGTGCTCGGCCAGGGCGTCCCGCGGGTCGGGGAGCGCCTACTCGGGGTCTCCGGCTTGCGGCGCCGGCGCGGGGCCATGGCGGGCCGCAGAGGGTCTGGCGCGCGGCACCTCGAGCTCACGCGGTAGAGGCCGTAGCGCGTGCCAAGGGAAGCCAGCGCTGTGTCACCCCCAGCGCCGCTCCGTTCAAATCTCCCGCCCCCACCTTTTATTTTTTTAAACAAACATTTATTTGAGAGAAAGTATGGCAGTAATTGGTATGTCACAAGAAGTAGTACATATTTAGAAGCCCAGAATAACAGGCATTCCAAGCATGACCCTACTATTGCACACTGCTATCTTCAGTGCAGTTGTTTAGTTCACTGGGATCAGCATATATGTTTGGTCAGTGTGAGAATCCTACCAATTAAATGCTAGATTCAAAAATCTTCTGAAGATTCTCAGGATCATTGCCTTAGCCATCTTGTACATAAAAATGTATGACTTTGCCCTGGTCATGTTTCCTAATATTTGTCCTTGCCCTTTCTTCATTGTCTAATCCTCAAGTTCTTGCTTTCCTTTTAATTGTGTTATGCCTTTCTATTTGTATTTATTGTTTTGAGTTTTTATACTAGGGAGACTAAATGATATTTACAAGTGTGGGTCTGGTTTATTTCACTTATGAGTGTATCTTCAAGTGACATCCATTTAAATATAAAGGCTTCAAGTTCATCATTCTTTATAGCTGATTAATACTCCATTACCTTTTATTTATTTATTATAAATACCATTACCTGGTATTTATAAAAATACCACATCTTTTCAACCCATTCCTAATGTGACGGGTATCTTGGTTGTTTCCAGAATTTGGCTATCACAAATTGTGCTGCTATAAACATAGGTACAAATATATCACTATGATATGACCTTTTCAGTTCCTCTGGGAAAATTCCCAGAAGGGGGAGAGCTGATTTGAATGGGATTTCCAGTCCTAGCTTTTTAAAGAGTCTGCACATGGATTTTTACTGATCTTTGACTTCTTTAGTTAGATTAATTCCAAGGTATTTCATTTTGTGACGGGCTATTGTAAAAGGTATTGTTTCTATAATTTCCCTCTCAGTGTGTTTGTTATCTGTGTAGAGGAATGTTAATGACTTTTGGATATTGACATTGTATCCTGCTATACTACTGAATTTGTGTATCAATTCTGGTAGGTTCTTGGTGGTGTTTTTTGGGTCTTCCAAGTAAAGTATCATGTCATCTGCAAATAATGACAGTTTAACTTCTTCTTTACCTATTCTTATGCCTTTTATTTCTTTCTCTTGTCTAATGGCTCTAGCTAATGATTCCAGAACTATGTTGAATAGGAGTGGTGAGAGAGGACATCCTTGTCTTGTACCAGATCTAAGAGTGAAAAATTACAGTTTTTCCCCATTTAGGATTATGTTAGCCACTGGGTTTTCATAAATGGCTTTTACCAGATTGAAGTAGAGGCCATCTATTCCAATTTTCTGTAGGACTTTAAACATGAATGACTTTTGGTCCTTGTCAAAAGCCTTTTCTGCATCAATTGAGATGATCATGTGGTTTTTAGTTTTCACTCTATGGATATAGTGTGTTACATTTATAGATTTTCGAATATTGAACCATCCTTGCATCCCTGGGATGAATCCTACCTGGTCATGGTGTATGATCCTCTTGATGATTGCTGTATTCTATTTGCTAGGATTTCATTGAAAATTTTAGCATATATGTTCATGAGGGAGATTGGCCTGTAGTTCTTTCTTAGTTGCGTCTTTCCCTGGTTTTGGTATCAGTAAAATACTTGCTGCAGGTATGATTTTGGGAGGATTGCTTCCTTTTCAATTTCATTGAAGTGTTTGAGGATTATAGGGAGTGCAATTTTTGTAAATTTCTTGTAGAATTCAGCTATGGATCCATCAGGACCTGGACTTTTCTTTTTTGGTAAGTTTTTTTTTATTACCTCTTGTATTTCATTGGCTGTTATTGGGCTATTGAGAATGATTATATCTTGTCAATTCATTTTTGGTAATTCGTACCTGTCCATTTTGTCTGTGTCTTCTATTCTGTGAAAGTAAAGACTCTCAAAGTAGCTATTGATAATCTTCTGAATTTCCACTGAGTCTGTGGTAATTACACCCTTTTCATTCCTTATTGCTTGTATTTGAATTTTTTCTTTCCTCTGTTTGATGAGGTTAGCTAGGGGCTTAACAATTTTATTTAATTTCTGAAAGAGCCAGATTTTGTTTCGTTAATTCTTTGAACTGCTTTCTTCATCTCAATTGAATTAATTTGTGCTCTAATCTTTATGATTTCTTCCCATCTTTGGGCTCTGGGTTTGTTTTGCTCTTCCTTTTCTAGTTGTTGAAGGTGCAGCATTAGGGTGTTTATTTGTTCCCATTCTGTTTTTCTAATTTGTCAGTTCATAGCTGTGATTTTCCCTCTGATAACTGCTTTCATCGTATCCCACAAATTCTGATAAGTTGTGCTTGAATTTTCATTGAGTTGTAGATATTGCTGAATTTCTTGTGTAATTTCATCTGTGACCCATTGGTTACTGAGTAGGATGTCATTTAATTTCCATGTATTTAGGGCTTTTTTCTGGCTTCTTTTGTCATTTATTTCCAGTTTCATTGCACTGTGGTCAGATAATA